CAATTAACTTTCAATTATCCTGAGCCTGATTAGTCAGTTTGCAGATTAACTAAGGTGAGGGCTCACCTGGGTCTGCGAGGTGTTCTTCAACTCAGTTGCTCTTGCTGATTAATTAGTTGGTTATGGCTGATTGCCTGCTCTAGGATTCTGAGACTCTGGGACTGGGCTACTTACAGCAGAGGAGGGCGGTCAAGGGGCAACTTTGTCCCCGACCTTTTTCTTTCTTCAGCCGGAGATTTTCACTGGTCATCGAAAGCTCTGGATTCTCCAGCCCAGTGCCCCAGAGGTTCAGACATTCCCTGGGATCCTGCCCTTGGGCCCTCACCCCACCTTGTGTTTGAAGCAACACACTTTCCAGATTGGGAAATCTAAGTTGACCATGGGGTGCAGTGAATGTGAAAGTCATTGTGATTAGACATCTAATATGCTGAAAGTAGACCCAGGACTCAGCAATGGGACTGCCAGCCCCCGTCTTCCTCCTCACGCTGTAAACCTCCCCTCTCCACACAGGTAGACTGACAGCCCCCCCCTCCCCCATCACTAAGCATTGGATCCCAGCAGAGCTCTGTGGAAGTTAAGGCCATGGTGACAGTGGGGGCAGGAGCTGCTTGCAAACGCAGGCTCCTCAAGGTCCCCATCTACCCACGGTGATTGTTTAGGATGCTCGTGATTGGATATCATTGTTGTCCTAGGTGACCACCGTGGCCTGAGTCCCTGTGGGGTGAGAGGGCAGACGTACGTACGTAAGCTGGCCACACCTTACGCAAGATCAGAATAGACCCCGGAACCTGGCGTCAAGCTCTCACCACATCTGGGTTTGGGCAACAGATACCTTGAGTCTTAGGTCGATTCCAAACCTTGAGAAAGTGTCCACTAAGGATTTAGGTCTGTGGATCACAAAGAAAGAGGGGGCCTATACACATCATATTTGATGGGGTTCCGTGAACTGCCCTTACTGCTCAAGCAAGCAGCACTCGCCCGAGCACCTGACTCTGTCTTCCTCTCTGGGTTCCCATCTCCCAGACCTTGGCACCCACCTTGGGTCCAGCATCTGCCGCCTCTTTCTAGCCAGGCCCGTCGATTTCTCTGGCCCTTCGTGTTTTCCCGGGGCTGTCAGTGTGTATGTACAGTCTAGAGATCACATTTTATTAACACAAAGAAATCTGCTTGGGCTGCCTGGTTTTGCAGTCACGTGGAGAGAAATGTGTTTCCTTGGTCCGCCAGCCTGCAGCGCTCTGTGCAAAATACAGCAGAGAGCCGGGCACCGGGCCAAGCTTACATTTCACTTCGGAACACACTTTCGAATCACTCCTTGGCAGAACATCCCTGGCGGTGTCTATTTGGGGAGTAAGTTAGAGAAGTGTTGTTTTTCTCTTAGGAGTGTGTCAGGAGATAGGACCTTTAGAATGTGTTTTACTTTTCCCATCCTCGCATCTTCAGGGTGCCCAGATATCTATATGATCCAGCAAAAGGCAGGAACAGCAGGAGAAGGAGAAGCCCCCTTTTTGTCCCTGGCTGCCCTGCAAAATCAGTAAACACAGCCAACACTGCCTGGGTTGGAGAAACTTAGGCCAGGGTAACAACATCAAAAGCTAAGTTCTGCAGCTCCGGGGGCAAAGGGGCTCCTCTCCCAGATAAAACAACATTGTTGTCCAATTCTTTCATTCCAAAAGATCTGAGACTTCCCTACGGTTGGACCTCAGCCAGCCAGCGAAGGAAGGAACTCCAGCAAGCCTTTGGAATGGTAAATGCTATGAAAATAAACAAACAGACCTCTTCCATTCCCTTCTCCCTCCCTTGTCTATTTTTATTTCATTCCCCCCGTTGTTCTCCAGCACGCTGCAGTACCCCGCCTGCCCTATACTGCTCCTCTCCCCACCTCCATATTCTCCGGGACCGCGTTCACTAGTCTGCCTCCAGTAAAACAAAATGCCTAACTCCGAAACTGAGGAATCAGAAGAAAGGAAGTCTAATTTGAGTAATCTTCCTCGGTTGCTCCTTGTAAAGTGACAACCTGAAGCCAAACTTGAGTCTGTGTGATGAAGTTGGCTTGGGAATTTGAAATCTCCTTTAAGAAAGATCAGAATGGCTAAAAGGCATTTGCTGGCATAGTATGGACCTCTTTATTCCCTAATGAGCTAGACCCCTCTCTGTGAAAAGAAACTCTGTCTTCGCCCTCACCCCCACCCAGAAGCTACATAAAGATTTCTCAAGGGCCAAGCCTTGCTCTCGTTCTAACATTTGAAACTTGGGAAGGTTGCACTTTCTGTCAGTACTGTGTGGCCAAGCAGCAACTAATAGGGACCTAGAGAACCTTCCTTGGCAGATGCATGTGTCTGGCTGTTGTTTCCTAGGCCAGGTAGCCCCTGGGAGCCGCCGCCCGCCCCCCTCCTCTCATAGAGGATGCCTAGACTCTCAGAGCCAGGCTGCAGCTTCTTGCTGGCCAGCTCCTGGTGAAGCCTTTGCTTGCTTTGCAGAAGGCAGGTGCCAGAGACCCATCCACCCGCCTGGAAACCTGTTGGTAATTAGCTTTAAAAATAATGCCAGGGTTCGCACATGGCTGCTGGGTGCATTAAGTCAGTGAGTAGGAAAGAGAGTGCTGCTTCACAGAATAAACGCTGTGGGCATCGCTCTAGTCATTCCCGGTAGGGTTAAATCAGGTTATCCGGGAGATGACGTCACCTTGTGCCTTCCAAGAGATCTGCAAGTGTTGAGGAATAGTGGAAGGTCAGAAATCTATTCAGAGCCACGCCCCCTTCCCTTCATATGTGAGACTGGGGCATTTTTAAGTCTTACTTTCTTTTTGAGGAGACCGGAGATTGAACCACGGTTCCATATGTCCTGAGCATACACTTGACCACTGAGAGGCACCCTCAAACCTGTCACATTGTTGGTGGGGGCAGGTGGGGGGCTACTTGACAAAATCTCTGAGAGAGGATGGAGAGTCAGTCACTTGTCAACATCAAGCGCCAATTCTCCACTGTGAATGTGTGGATTATCTTCTCAGTGTACTTGGCCTGGTAAATGAATACCTGGCTAGTTACTATTTGCCACTTAGGGAAAGACCATTGACCTCTATCCCACTTAGGGAGTGTTTGGGGAATGTAATTTCATTTCACAAGTAACAATGTATATCTTTGGAACATTATAGCAATAGGACAATTATTATTCAGACGGTGCCTGGACTAAGAATCAGTCATTAAGGTTGTAGGACTGGGATTGTGTCCTGCCTTTTACCAGTGTTAAACTTGAAGCTTGCAGGATTTTTGCCTTTTCATAAGAAAAGATTTGTGGAAACTGATCTCCTAGGCTCCCCGAGGCTCTCCATGTTTCATAATGAGACCTTGCCAATCCTTTGACTAGGTTTTTGTTGATAACTCCTCGGCACATGTTTTCCACCAGAATTGGTAGCCAGGAATCAGTAGGTGAATGAGTGAGGGATACATCAAAGACCCCTGCTTTGGTTAGAAATGGTTTTAAGTGGATGCTTGTGCCAGTAGAATTTTTTTTTCAACACGGTAGGTGTTTACAAAAGGTCCTGAAGGTGCAGCGAGCCACTGGGTGCTCCTTAGCCGGTGGGTCTCGGAGGAGGTCAAGTATAGTCTCCCACCGCTGATGCAATGACAGGCCCTGGGATCCTCCATGCATGACACTTTCATGATCTGCTTTTGTTACATGTCATTATCTTCTGATTTACTGTATAAACAGGCAAGAAAGAAGAAACCTCTGAGAGCAGAGAATTTCTATGCTTGCAAATCCAGGTGGATATCCAACTCCAATTCTCCACCTTTTCATCACAGAGGCATGTCTGGAAGTCAGCTGCTCCACCTGCATGTACCCAGATCCCCAGTTAAGAGTTCTTAGAACCCACCCAACAAGTTCTTAGCTGGGATTTAACTGGGCAAGTAGACAGAGTGGGCTAAGAGAAGAGGATGTGCTTTTCTTTTCTTTTTCATTTTTTTAGTAACTATCTACCAAGGGTTAAGAAAATGCCTTAATTGGTAAAGTGCTTGCTTTACAAGCTTTAGGACCTGAGTTCAAATCTCCTACCACCCACATAAAAACCTGATATAGTCACACACACACACACACACACACACACCATCAAGTTACACTTCTTTGATTAATAGATAAAGGCAAGCACTTCTCTATAGACATGCCAGTTGCAGCTTCTTTGTGTGTAGGGTCTGACTGGCTTACAAAATGGTGAGTCTCTCCACACCATCCAACGGTTGACATGGGAACAGATGTGCCCAGTGCTGAAGAGAACCATTTCACAATTTAACAGCGGCCACTACTGCAGTGTCCCCCTAGGTGGAAGGGTCAGCTGCTTCTTTCGGATGTCCGCAGTCCTCCCTGTATCCATCCTGAGCCTGCCATCCCATCCCACGGGGCCATGCCAGGGAGTGGAATGGGAGTCTCCGGCAGCAGCCGGAGTCGTTCATCCTTCCCATGTGCACCGTGCCTCGGTTCACCCATATGTTAAGGAGAGGAAGGGACCTCTCATCCTTGGTCCCTTGATGGGGGACAGAGCTTTCCTGTTCCCTTCTGCCTGGGAAACCCTTACTCCGGCAAGACACCGTGTACCCTCTACTCCAAATTTCAACCTTCTATCCGGCAGGAGGTAGAAAAGGAACAGCTCCCTAGTTACTTAGCCTCTTCTTTTGTGCTTAGGATAGTTCGGGCGCCAGGCTACACAGTTTTATATGTGTTAGCTCATTAAACTCCAAAGCCACCCCTGGGTATTGCTAGCGTTAGCATTAGATTGGTACTGCTGTTGCTGTCCTCTTACAGATGAGACCCAGAGAAAGTGAGCAGAATAGGAGAGAGAGAGCAGTCAGCTGGCAGGGCTGGGACAGGATGTCGTGCCCCCATCTGGCGCCGGGGCTCTATGTTAGGTCGCTGTGGCCTCCTCCACTGTTCAGGAGAGGGCTCTCTGCCCGCAGGAGAGAGCAGAATGTCGGGCGCTATCGGCGCACCTGTGTCCATGGTATGGCATGGTGGCTGGCTAGGTTCTAGGATCCTGAATGTGGAGGGACAGAGGGGAAAAGGATGTTTGGATCTGGCAGCATCTCTCGAGTCCTAGGCTCTCTTCAACCAGCAACCAGAGAATCTAATTTTAAAGGACAGCCAGACCAGCTTGCAAAGCACAAGGTTTATGTTTAAATCATGAAGGTTTAGTTTAAAAGTGAATTCTGTGCTTTTGTACAATTTGCAAAACCTCAGTTCCTTCTGACATAATAGCAGCAGAGATGTACCCGGGATGAAGAACTTGACTTGGCAATCAAGCAATATGTAGGAATGGCCGAGGGGGAGTTAGGAATGTGGAATGATGTTGCGCCTCTGAGGCCACGGGTGCCCAGCTCCCAGCATAGTCAAACAAGTCACAACCCACACTGCCCAGTGCCACAGATGATATGTGGATATAGTCAAGAGAGCCTCCTTCTTTCATGAATAGGTTTCTCTTGTATGGACACATGCATGTAGGTCCTTAGTGAGACACATGCATCAATACCTGGCTTTGTTGGACATCAGCTGTGGGTTTAGCCCTCAGGGAGATATGGGAGGGAGAGAGAGGCACTTTTTCAATGTCCCTATCCATCTATTTCCCTGTGATATACCTGGTGAGGGTTCCTTCCAGATGCACGCCAAGGAAGTAGCTTCTTCAGAGATGCTGACGGGAGGCAGCACAGGACATGCAGCCTCGCTTGGTAAATATTAGTTTCCTTCCTCTTCCTGTGTGTAAGGCAAGTTGTACGAGCGAGTGAGGCTTCGACAACTCAGAATGCAAAAATAGCTCTGCCTGTGAGGATGTGGCCTCTTTTCCCCGAGTGTGGACCAGATGTCAGGCTGCCTGGTGAGGACTCGGGGAATGTGACAGCTTTCCTGTGCAGGCCCTCAGTGCTTCTCTCCAGATGGAAGCCTCTCTTCCCATGTGATTTGTGGATCTGAAAAAAAAAAAAAACAAGAGCTCAAAAGACAGTCTGGGAGTCTTGCTCTTTATCAAACGCGTGTGTGGATATATGGATTTCAGGTATCGCCTTCAAGTTAAAGGCGTGGCCATCACATCATTTCCCCGGTTGCTTAGTGACAGCAAAAATGAGGGGAAGCCTAGAGACTGTGGATATTCATTTAGAGCTGCTTCCATTCGGTTCTGACCTCACGTTTATTCAGAGCCAACTGTTTACGGTGCGCTGAGCTGGGCGTCTACAGTTGAGATAGAAGGAAGATGCCATCCTTTGAGCTGCTAAAGCCTGTGGGGTGCAAAGGAGAAAAATCATCGTGACTGGAGTGTGATAAGAGGGGGGAGGGAGACATGAATGATAATCTCTGCACAGGTAAAAGAGGGAATAGCAGAGATGATCCTCAGTTCTGTCCTCAACGTGGTGAAGAATAAGCAAAAACAGAATCCATCAGTCGACAGGAAGGATTTCCGACTGAATGGGTTTTACGAGACTTAATGAGTTTTTCCTAACAGGCATTAACAGTGTACCAGTCATGTGTAGGGGAAAATAGCCAATCCGCACCAGTGAATCACAGGCAAGAACCATTCAGAGGGTTATAGGACAGAGGACGTGGGTCAGAGAGGAAAAGAGGGGAAAAAATATGAAAGTGGTGGTTAATACACTCCACCTGACTGGCTCTCTTTCCCCGGATGAAGGAAGAGTTCGTGGCATAGTGTGGGGCCCGTGTCAGCACTCCCAGGGCGCCAAAGCATGTGTCTCAAACATGGTGTGTTTAAAGAAGCTGTTGGGAGGTTAGAGGCGGCATAATTGATACGATTTAGAAGTCGCTGTGGCAACACGCCCACTTCTAGAGAGTCAGTGTCTGTGGGAGGGCAGGGTAGCTTGTGGCTTTTGCCCTGTACTCTCCTGTGCCCGCCTATCTCCTGCTCTGGGCCAAAGGTCTGGACAAATTCAAAAGGACAAATGCCCCACGTGGCTCACTGCAGCCGGTCTTTGTGAAATTGACCCTGGAATAAGATAAGGACACGGTTAGCAAACCAGCTAGGAGGCTACAGGGAAACGGTGAGGGAGAGGGAACCCGAGCCGGCTTGCCAACTCTTCAGGATGCATCTCCCCATACTGGAAAGCGTGGAGTAGCCTGTGGATTTCCATGAAAAACATAAATGCATATGGCCTCCATGAGTGTACACCGCCTTTGTTATAAGCAGTAGCACGGAATGCTTCGGGGACATAAGTAAAATAGACTTTCGAGTGGCAGAAAGATTTGGGTTAATGGAAAATTGGCTGGGATGAGTTTCAAAGACCTCGGTGCTTGCCTCTGATGCGCCACCTTCCGACGAATCCTTGTATAACGTGGTTGGAGGCATGGTTGGAGGCAAGCTTTGGTTTGCAAGCCGAGGCCTCTTTGGCTACTTTAGTAGTTCGTAAAGTTGGCCTCACAGGAGAATAATTAACTAGTGGCGATTCTTGACATTTTTAAAAATATTCCATTAAAAAAGTACTGCAGGGTCGTTCTTAAAGTCAGACTATACAGCAATATAGCTTAAGTTCTTACAGCCTATTTCCAGATTGGCTTCCTACCATCTCTTGCATGCTTTTCCAGAGAGTTTCTTTGCCTTTGTAAGCATATACATATATACATATATATGTGTGTGGGGTGGGTGGGTGTGTGTATATCGTGTGTTTGGGGACATGAAAATATATGTATATATACTTATATGCATCTGGCACGTGGTGTTGCACAACTTGCCTTTTTAATATCTGTTGGAGAACTACCCTTATTAGCACATAGAGATCTGCCAGCTGCATGGAGTCCCGTTGTCTGGGTGTTCAGTGGTTCGTCGTTGCTTCTAGGCATTTAGATCGGTTTCTTACACAGATGCCATCGTTCACGTTTGTGGTAGACCTAAAATTTAATTCCTAGATGTGGAAATGCTGGATGGAAATGTGTAGGCTCCAGAGGAAGAGAACCAATTCACACTCCCACTGGAAGCATGTAAGAAATCTCTTTCCTCTTTCATTGAAAAGAGAAATCAGAGAGCCCAGGCCACATTTTCAGATCTTCTGATTGAGCTGGGAGGGGTGCTGGACGTCAGTGTTACCTCAGTGTTCCTCAGAGCCTCATAGGTGGATCTCGAACAAGATGGAGAATATGAGCCATGAGTAGAGAGTAAGGGTAATTACGTGGTCATCCTTTGGGATCCAAAAAGCAAGAGCTCGTGCGCTGTTGTGAGTTGGGAGAAACAGAATGATGTATTTCTTCTGAAATTCCCACTACGCGGGACATCCCCATTTAGACAGACATGGCATTAAATGAATCTCTATCCATAAACATGGTATATTGAAACAACAAGGACCAGAGAAATGCTGCCTAGGTTCTGTTGGATACTTTCCTCTCTGTTGTAAATGTTTAGTAACAATGCATTTTTTTTCTTTGTACGGTCTCTTAAGGAAAAGTCATGGCCTCAGATTCCTTAGAAGTAGCTAGTTTGCAGATGTTAAAGGTTAACACTCTTTGCTTTTATTGCAATATGAAGTGCCCCAGGTTGATGCAAAGCTTGCCACCTTCAGAACTTCAAAGTCTCTTCTTTCTCTTGCTTAGGTAACTCAAAACATTGAGAGACACAGAAAATGTCATCCACCCGAAGACTCACACTAGTCACTGTCTTCTGTGCAGCCCGTTTCACACAAACATCACTAGCCTTCAGTTCTTTGATCCTGTCCTTTGAGGCTGTACCACCTCATTCTCTCCGGGGAGTCTCTGTCCTCCGAGCTGCTCTGAAGCCTCTATCTGCTCACTCTCTCCCTCACAGTGCACACTTAAAACACACACACACACACACACACACACACACACACACACACACACACACACACACACACACACACACACACACACACACACACACACACACACAGAGAGAGAGAGACAGACAGACAGACAGACACACAGAGACACAGACACAGAAACACAGACAGACAGAGACAGAGAAAGAGACCATTCATCTTCACCTAATAGCATTTCTTTCTTTTTGTCCTTTCCTATTTCAGTACTGGGGATTAAACCAGAGCATCACACATGACAGACAAACCCTCTCCTTTGTCACTGAGCTGTGTCACCTGCACAATTTTATTACTTTTTTGGAGACAGATCCTCACCACATTGCCCAGGCTGGCCTTAAGCTTGTTATGTAGCTCAACCTGGCCTTGAGCTTCTGATCTTCCTGCTTCAGACTTCTGAATAAAAGAATGGCTGGTGTTCTAGGCATGAGGATGGCTGGTGTTATAAGCATGAGATGGTGTTATAAGCATGAGATGGTGTTATAAGTTGGTATTATAGGCATGAGCCCCCATACCGGGCTTCTTTCTTTTTCCTTCTGAGAGAACTTCCTCCTGCCCCCTCCTACCTAGGGTTTTCCTAGTGTTCTTCTTTCTTTAATGTTGTTGTAAGAAAACTGTCCAAAAGCAACTTCATGGAAGAAAGGGTTTATTTAGCTTACAATTCCAAGTTTTAGACCATCACTGCAGGGAAGTCAGGGCCGGAACTTCAGGCATCATATCCACAGCCAGGAGAAGAGAGAAAATAAACATGTGGATCCTTGCTTGCTGGCCTGCTTCATCTAGCATTCTCCTGCCTTGTATAGTGCAGGACCCCCTGCCTAGGGAAGTGTGCTGCACACATTCATGGCAGACCTTCCTTCACCAGTTAACGATCAAGACAACCCCCTACAGACATACACACAGGCCAACCTGGTCTAGACAATTCCTCAGTAAGACTGTGGTCCCGTGTGATTCTCCGTCATGTCAAGTTGGTAGTCAAATAACCATGAAGCTCAGCATAGCCTTAAAAAAATGGTTTTCTCTTCATTCAACTCATTCCCACGGTTAGGTAAAGATTGATTTTGATAGGGGCTTTTCTGTAGGAAGCATACACCAAATAGAGTGTTACCTGTCAACACCCTGGCCTGACAAATGGGATTTGGAAGCTCTGGGATGCTCTTGGTCCATGGAAATGTAGAGACTAAGATGGGGCTTCTTTTTGGTGCACAGTCCTGATGGGCATGAGCAAGAGGAGCTGAAAGGGAGCCACAGCATGGATGATCCAACTGCCTGGTGATGACTCAATGCTGGTTTCTGTTTACCAAGATGCACACAGACCTCACCTTGTGTCTGTGAAAGAGAAAAGCAGCGTTTGTCCCATGAAGGTTTCTGCACAGACTACATTATGCAGAAGCCAGATGGGTTCAGTTTGGCTAATCTTAGTGCAAGCTGGGAAATTTCAACTGAAATAACACATTTCTAAGAAATTGTCTGGTGTGGAAAATTGTTCTCATGTATGTATGAGAGAGCGGCATGGCCATAGGGCAAAGCTGAACTACTGTATGCTTAGATATATGTGTGAGGATTTGCCTGTACCCCTCGTTCCTATTTACATGTTAAGAAGAGATTTAAGAAGCCCCCTCATTTTTCTTGCTTGCTGTATCCATGGCTGTTAAACAGTTTTCCTCTCATGAAAGACTTGAATGTATTTGGAAAGTCCAAGTAGGCCTTTCTCCGAATCTTGGCTTGCATCTGAATGTAAAAATCAGCTATGTCCTCCATGACTGTTGATTCAGATAATAGGTATTTGTAATAGACATGTGGCTCTATAATATTCCCTTTCCTACTGCCCCAGGGACTGACGATGGAGCTGTAGATTTCCATGATGTCCCCCATGCAATGAAGAATACACACATCCAAATACATACCATTTAGCACAAGAAGACTTGGGCATTGAATACATGCATGAGACTAACCTGTCTGTCACCGAGTGCAAAAGCATTGGAGAGATAGTTCACCTTGAGATCTTGGAAACATGAAATCCATTTTGTTTAGGCACCAGGTGCCCCTGTGGAATTAACTCAGCTTGTCCTCTGAGATCCATATTCCTGACTAAGCATATCACCAACTTCTACCCCTGAAACTCCCTCCGCCTAACTACACAGGTTCCATAATCTTTCAGAATTATCAATGACAAATATATAGTGAGGGAATGACCATTATTCTGTGGTATTTTCGCAACCTAGGGGGCAGATGGCCCTGATAGCAGACCACAGAGGATGTCTCTACAGACATTTCACTTGCCGTTCTTTCTTCTTCCATAACATCATTCTCCAGACCTAGATATAAAAACACATAAAAAGATGGAGTAGCAACGTGAGACCTTAGGTTTACTATGCAGTAAAAAGAGGCACCTTTATCAAACTAGGTTTTTCAGCCTATTAAGATGCTCTTAGGAGCATCTCTCTGGGTTTCCCTGCAGAGATGCAGACACCCGACATCCCAAGACACATGCGAGAGCCCCAGCATCCCTGCCTCATGCAGGAGCCATGTGAGTGTTGCTTGAAGGAAATTGTCTGGCATTAGCTGTTTGTGTTAGTGATATCTTTGATGGGCTTGGGTGTGTGGGAGTGGAGGTGTAGGAAGAAAGGACTTTGGAGTTAGCCTTAACTTTGAATATAGCCTCTTTCAACACACCATTTAAGCTTCAGCAAAGGACTTAATTCGTTCAGTTACATTGTTTGTCTAGTTGGCTTAGTTTTTTTTTTAAAAAACAGAATCTGGCTACCAGCCCAGACTGGCCTTGAACTGGCCACCTTCTACTCCACTTACCAGTGCTGGGTTATATAGGTGTGTCCCTCCACACTCAGCTTGAACTGTTTCTTTCTTGTTTAATGGAGGTGATATGGTCGCGGCTTACTCATGAGGACTGGTGGTAACTGCTCCTGAGTGATTGAAAGTGTAGTCAGGAGCATCTC